AGTGGAAATGTAAGCTAACATGGCGCTATACTGAGAGAGGGAGAAGAGAGGACATGAACAGCTTTCAGCCTAAGGTGGGTTTTAAGCTCAGTCCTGAGAGAGGCCAGGGAAGCCTGGAGGCTGAGGTAGAAGAGGTACATTCAGGCACAAGGGACAACCACCCAAAAGACATGGGTCAGGAGATGGAGGAACAGCAAGAAGGGCAGTGTGGCTGGATCACTGAGGAGACATTAAGGAATAAAGTATAAGACTGGAAAGGTAGGAAGGGGCCAGGCTATGAAACCTGAAAGCCAAATACAGGCTCTGAGGCCCCTTCTAACATAAGATTCTATGATTCTAGTTTTGTTTTGTTTTAAAACTGTCCAAGATTTTTTTTTAAGAGAGTAAAATACCATAGAACTTATTCTGGCACTTCGTTTATATTCTCATATAAACTCCAGATTGTGCCAAGTTATAGAATTTCACAAGAGATTTCATATGATAGTATAAAATTAAGGGAACGTATTTATTTATACTAAACAGATCCTGAACTATATTTGGACTAGCAGAAACAACTACTATATAATATCCCTGAATTTACTAGTAAAGGAGTACCTTTTACTTCAATTCCAACATCTCCCTTGAAAGGCAGAAATCTGGGAAGCCACCATTAACTCTGACCCCCTTCATCTCTTGTATAACATTTTCCACTTTATACCATGCTTGCTGATCCGTTATCTCACTTGATCCTCAGAAGTCCATGAGGCAGCCAGAGGAGAAGACAACCTCGATTTACAAAAGAGGAAATTACAAGCCCAGAACTTACACAAGCTCTCCAGCCCAAGGTCACGTGATTACTAGTCTTCATCCTACCTTAAGAACATTATCTCCTGCCTCATGCTACTAGGTTACATTAGTATTTGGTCATATAAAAATGCCAGAAAGGGAATTCAAGAAACAATTTTCCAGCTCTCCATCATAGGATTCCTTGTTATAGTCAAACTTTTAAAAATTCACAGAATCAAGGCTGGAAGGCACTTCAGAGATTATCTCAATCCAACTCTCATATTTTACACAACAGTAAAGGGTGCCTTACGGGTCAACTTGCCTAAGGTCCTGCAGCTAGTAAGTGGAATAAATTTGGAACCCCAGTCAGAAAACTGTAAACCTAGATACAACTGATTTCACCTTGCCAAAGCATTAGACAGACCAATCAAGACAGAAAACTGTTAACTGCATTATTCCACAAAGATTTTCTTGCCTTTGATTCTTGATTCTCTAAACCCAAGATTTCCTTGATGGAAGTTGATTGCATCACTCTTTAAAAGAAAGTTATGACAAGGTACAAACAAGTCTATCTAGACTTTCTTGGCTGGTATAACTTTCAGGAAAGTCACAAAAGTAGTAACAAGGAATAGAAGCACAGAAAATGACAAGGATTTAAGAAAAACACCTCTAAATAGCTTGGCATGGTATTACTGCCTTAAGGATACTTATTATGACACATGCCTTAGACTTCCCAAATTCATTAAAATTAGAACAAAAGGTACTTAACCAACTTCATCTTATTTTCATGCAAGCATAAGGCTGATTGCTACCATCAGAGCTGTGGAAACCATTTTGCAACGAGGAAGCTTCAGTAACAAAGTGGTGACTACATACTGGAGTATCTTTATATGCAGCTTTTGTATTAAGTGCAGGAGCTAAAAATAGAGAGGTTGCAGAAGGCTCACAGAAACTGTACTGTATAAAGGAAACATATAGCTCTTTCCACCTTGGTATTTAATAAAAAATGTTGAAGACAAGTACAACAAAATCTTCATTTTCATCTTACATGTTAACAATGACAGTGCCTCTGTACTACCTAAGAGTCTCCAACAAATATGTCATGAGGAAAATTAGTATATAATAGCTCAGTGCCATACACAGGAAGAAATACGTAGTTAAAAAAAAAAAACAAGCTAGACAACTGTTGATTATTTGTATTACAAAAGGCTTCCAAGCAAGGTTCTTTCCTTTAAAAGTTGTGTTTTCTTTGTTCACATAAATATTTAATTAGATATCATTTATTGTTGTAAGAAAGGAAAAAAATTATCACATCAAATAAGAAATGGAGGGAACTTTAGAGATCACGCATAACAAGCCCTTTATTTTATAAATGAGAAAGCTGAGACTGACTTTTCCATAAAGATATGAAGGCTTTAAAATTATAATTAAGGTAATACAAAAATATGACAGCATTTTCTAAAGTTTAATGTATGCACAATTTTTCAGGACCATACCCATTACATATAGGGAATTTCATTTATAGTTACAAAGTGCTACATGGAAATACATTTAGGATACATGCGTGTATGTATGCATATATACCCACACAATCAGTAGTATTAGCTTTTGAAAAAAATGAAGTAATGTTACATTTAACCGTATCACGAAAATGCAATGCAAACCTACCTTAAAAGACGTATTATATGGAAGGAAAAAAATTAAACTGAACACTGTGTAATTTTGGTGACCATGTTTAGGCCTGAAGAACGGATGAAAAATGTACCTCCTTCTCTTCTTTGCAGGGGAGGGGGGCTATGGGCATGGAATATTGTATATATACTATCCAGACTTAGCTGATATGCTAATTAGTTTCAATGAGCTATTTTTTTTCTTTATTCTTTGTTCTAAGGGGACAAGAGAAAGGTTCATTTGGAAACGAAGGTGGTGTAAAATTAAGACATTAATAAAAATTTTCTTAGAGAAAACCAGTCACACCACTCTCGGCAATGGATAGTACAATACGTGAAAAAAACTGTGGCTAATGCAAATGACACCAAAAATAAAGATTCGAAGAAAATATTAGCTGTGTCACTCGACATTTTGACTTGGGCTGTACTCTGCTTTATTATGTAACGAAATCATTTCAACATGTCCCTGTTAATAAAGATGGACAGCTTTTTCAAAGATAGCCACAAAAGAAAGTGACCCTGAAGTGATTTCATAATTTTTACAAAAATTGCAGATCTTAGAATTAAATTTTAGTGCTTCCTCTAGCCAATATTTCCATCACCATAAGGCACAAAGGTTTCATTCCCAGAACTATGGTCTAGGATCAACGGTGTCAAACACAGGAGAGTGACTCCCAAACCAGTGTAAAATATAATTGGTAAATATTTAACAAAATAAATAAAAGTACAATAAAACAGAAAACTAACATATTTTAAAACAAAGGGACTGGCAAAGATCCTTATGTATGGATTAGTGGCCCTCTCTCTCTATTTGAGCTTGACACCACTGGTCTAAATCACAAAATAAAATTGAAATTAAATGGTATGTATACATTAGAAAACAAAGGAACTGAACAAGGGTAATACCAAGAACTCCAAGTTGCTAAGGGCTCGGGATAATGCCCCTCCCATAAGCCAAATTGCTTAGTAATAGAACTGCCTTTCCTTTAGAATTTGGAAGGGAGAGAAAAAATATGGAAAAACAATTTGTTTAACGTTAGCACGGGGGTTCCAAACTTGCTGCCTCACTCCTTGGTAGCATAGCTAAAACCCTGACCTAAAGAAGCCTTACCCAGCTTCCAACGAAATAAGCTGCTTCTACTTAAATAATCATAAGCACACTGGGAAACCCAATAGGACATTGAACAGGTGGAAAGTACAGTACTCAGAATATACTAAGAATGCCTATCTACAGCTAACCTCAACAATAATGACCGGTGGAGCCCAGCCCCCCCAAAGCAAGCCACAGATATAACGAAGAAATTAAAACTAAATTCTTGAAACAAATTCTGGATAGAAAATAAATCCAAGATCACGAGCCCTTTTCAGCAAACTGGTTTTTTTTTTTTCCAAGGCTCAGTCCCCTTTAAGAACTGTCACCTGCCCATTGGCCTTTTTTTCCTCCGAGAAGGCATCTGCACTGCAGATCTCCGCAAGAGGGGCGCTTGCCAGCCAGCTCCCACCAACCAGCAGACTGTATACAATGGGAACGCCAGCGGTGGGCTCTGCAGCTCCCCTCCACGCCATTCCCAGAGGGAGGGCGAGGGGCTTAGGGCCGCCCCCGCTTTGTTTCATTTGTCCACGCTGGCCCTGGTCACCGTCCCTCCCAGGGCTCTCACGCTCACAAGCAGCTAAATGCAAAGCGGCCCCCCACCCGGTCCCTTCTCCCCAAAATGGGGGCGGGCGTGCGTGGGAACGCCTAGGGAGCGAGAGGCGCCCCGTGCCTTCGGGGGGAGGCTGCAGATGAAATCACCGACCCGCCGCGGACCAGAGTCACGCAGCCGGGCCCCCCGAAGGGCCAAGAGCGACCCTGCCCCAGTCGGCTTCCTCCCAGCGCCATGGAAGCGTACAGAAAGAGCCGTCCCCGCCCGATGCCATCGATGCCATCGATGCCACTGGGCAATCCGAAGGCCAACCCTCCCCCCACCTCACTCGCTGTTTCCCAGGGTCCCCCGCACACAGTAGGCGCTTAATCAGGGCTAGCAGACGGACCTCCTAGCCCCGGCTGGGCGTGGACCCCCCCCCCTCGTCCATTCTCTAGCTCACCTGCCCCCTCATCCTGGAGACCAGGAACGGAGGCGAAGGGGGGCTGGGGCTTTTCCAAGCTCTGTCTATCCTCGGGGAGGGCTGCCCAGCCCCCACTGCAGAGCCATGCTCCCCGTCTTTGCTCTTCGGCGTGCCGCCCCCACCCCAGTGCCTTCCCACCTCAGCACCCACGCTCTGCTACCGGGAGGGGGCGGGGTGTCGGGCCCCCCCCCTTGTTGTCTCCCTCCTGTCTTCCCCTCCCCCTGCCCGTGTTTTCCCACGGCCCCACCCCAGGGCCCCCAGCTCCACCCCCACCCCCACGCCCAAGGCAAAGTCACCGGCTCGGCTTGGGGTTACCACCTGCGGCTCCCTCCCCGAGACCCGGCCAGGGTCACCCCCCGGTCCCGGGGCCCGATCTCGCCCCTCCCCCACCCCGCCCCCCCCGGCCGCCCTTCCCCCACCTCCTCACCACCCCGCGGGGTCGCCCCTCCCCCTCCTCACCCGCACAGGACGAGGCGCAGCTCTTGCCCCCCAGGCCTGGGCAGGTCCCAGGGCTTCCCCCGCCGCCCGCCACGGCCCCGGCGGCATCGGCCCCGGACGACGACGAAGAGATAGACGGGGACTGGGTGGCCGCCGACGGCTCCGCCATGGCCTCGCCAACGGGAGGCGGAAAGGGCAGAGGCGAGGCGAGAAGACGAGGACTGGGACGACGGCGAGGCGAGCAGAAGCTCCGGCTCCGAGGGCGGACGGTGAGCGACTGAGCCCACCGACTGACTGACTGACTGAGTGACTGATGGGCGGCCGGGCTCAGGAGGAGCGGGGGAGGGGCGCCGAGCTCGGGCGCGCGCCGAAGAGGACGCGCAGGCGCACTGCGGCCCCGAGCCCCGCGGGAGGAGGTGGGCGGCGGCCGAGCCGAGCCCGCAGCGGAGCCAGTGCGCAGGCGCGGGAACCCCTCCCCCCCCCGAGGGCCCCCCCCCACGCTCTCGCGCGTTACCGCAGCCCCCCCTCTCCTCCCGCGGAGCAAGCGAGGAGCTAGAGGCGGTACCGGCTCTGGAGCCCCGCCCCCAGGCGCAGTCCCGACTCTCGGGAGCACGTGTCTCGGGGCTGGAGGAGCGTCCCCGCCGCGTCCATCTGTCCGGCTGAATCACGGTGCATGCATTTGGTGAATGTCCAGCGGTTACTTCTCGGGGAGCGTGTCCTGTGCGGCCATCCCACCCCAAGAATGCCTCTGCTGCTGGACACTGCTGGTCACTGCTGCTCCTGGCAGCCTGCCATTCCCCCTTCCTCACCTGCCCCCCAAGCAATTCCCTCCCCGGGGTTGGGCTGGGGAGCAAGTGTGATGCCCTAGATTGAGTGATTGACATTCTCACCTGCTAAAGGTACGGGGGCCAGGGGATTACGAAGGCTGCTTTGAGGGGTGGCAGATTCATTGACTCAAGGGATCACCCCCTTACATATGTGAAGTGCTTTGCAAACCTTGGAGGCCGACCTTAGTGTTAGCTGTTAGTGTCATCACCAAGGGCCTTGCTCTGGACATAAAAGGACAACATGAAAAACCGGTAAGTTGCAGGAGTGAGACCCAAACCGCGCAGCGATCTCAACTCAGGACTCGGGCCTTTCCCGGCTCTTCTTCCCCAGGCAAGAAGAGAGTCTGTTGCCAGGAATAAAACTGGAGGAGCCAGTTTTAGGGCTGAAAGGGACCTCAGGGGGTCAGCAGACAAAAGGAAAGCGGCTTCCCCAGTTCACACAGGGCACTGATGAGTAGGCCCTGAAGGGAATGCTCTGGAGGAATGGGGTCAGTTATTCTGAAGGGAAGGGACCCAGCAGAGCAGCGGCGGCTGGCAGCTGCATGGGGTGTGATGCAGGGTGAGGCAGACGGTTACAAACACAAAGAATGGTCACAGACTGGATACAGTGAATTTTAGGGAGTTGCCAAAAGGAGCCTTGCCTAGCAGACATTTTGGCAGGCTGGCGGAGGGGTCCCAAAGTGGAATGGGTTGTGTGTGTGTGTGTATATTTTGGGGGAATTCGGGACAGATGTGCCTTCGCTAGGAGCCTTTGAGCAGAATCTGGTCGACTGCTTGTCCTTATTTTTTTCTTTTTCTTCCTTTTTTTTTTTTTGTGAAGCAATTGGGGTTAAGTGACTTGCCTAGGGCCACACAGCTAGTAAGTGTCATGTGTTTGAGACTGAATTTGAACTCAGGTCCTCCTGACTTCAAGGCCAGAGCTGTATGCACTATCCGCATTTTTTGGTTCAGGTAGGACTAGGAAGGGGCCCCTGCCATTCCTTCCAGCTCTGAGGTCTTAGGATTCATCCCTCTATCAAATACTGACTTTGGGGCTGGCGGGCCTGCTCATGGGGGGCCTGGCCTCAGAGCCAGAGGGTTCAAATGTTCAGAAAACCAGTTTCCTTTAAAAGCCGGCCCCTGCCTAGCCTGGGATCCCGAAAGATCAGCCGGTGAAATTTGTTTCTGCTGAGCCTGATCACGAACAGCAGTGCAGTCCCAGCCGCATCCACAGACTGGCTGCCAGCTCGGGGAGGAGGGGGAAGAGAGATTAGACCAATGGAAGGAGCCTTCGGGAGCCGGCTGCCCTTGACAGCAGCATCTGAGGTCGAAGAAAACCAGACGAGGGAAAGAGAGCGCTGGGGCCGGGCCTGCGGGGAGCATCTTCCCCCCGGGGAGCAGAAGCCATGCCGAGGCAGCTACAGCCCTTGAAATGACCCAGGGCAGCGGGGCTCGGCCGGCAATCGTGCGCAAGGCCCGGCCCGGTATCATCCATTCAAATAATTGCGTTACTTGTAGCAGCCTGACAGGTGGGGCGGGAGAAAGACAGACAATTCTGGCAGCTCAGACAATGAGCAGCAGGCAGCTGGAACCTGACATCCAGGGCCAGCCAGCTTCCAGGCTCTTAGAACACTGGACTTGGAATTAACAAGGGCTGGGTTTAGACCCACCCAGGAAGCCTAGGAAGCCAGGAAGACAATTCTCAAAGTCGTGTGACTGTGGGCAAGGCATTAGGCTTTATGAGCGTCAGTTTTCACCATCTGTAAAATGGGGATAATAGTGCCTGTATGTACACCTCCTCATAGCATTTTTGAGAGGGTCAGATTCGGTAATAAGTGTAAAGGATGTGGTAAACCTTAGAGAGCTCTAGACAGGTCAGTTATTGCTACTATTATTCTTGTATGCCCTAGAGTAACAAGTAAGGGGCCCGGAAACTATTTTTTAATATTTATTTTTTAATGTATTTTTATTTATTTCATTAACTATTTCCCATTTACATTCTTAACATTCATTCTTTAACACTTTGAGTTCCAAATTCTCTCTTTCTCCTGCTCTTCCCCGACCCCTTGAGAAGGCAAACTGTATGATAGCAGTTATACGTGCGACATATATTTCCATATAGCCATGTTGCAAAAGAAAACACATACACACACATAAAACCAAAAATAGAAAGAAAGTGAAACTGTGCTTTAATCTGTACTTAGAGTTAGTTCATCAGTTCTCTCTCTGGAGGTGGACGGCATTTTTCGTCACGGATCTTGGATTATCATAACAATATTGCTGTTACTGTGTACGATGATGTAGTTGTGCTCACTTCATTTTGCATCAGTTCACAAAAGTCTTCCTAGGTTTTTCTGAAACCACCCCCTTCATCACTTCATATAACACATTAGTACTCCAATCACAATCACACTTGTTCAACCATTCCCCAGTTGATGGGCATTCCCTCAATTTCCAATTCTTTGCCACCACAAAAAGAGTTTCTATAAATATTTTTGTACATAGAGATCCTTTTCTTTTTCCTTTGATCTCTTTGGGATACACACCTAGTAGTGGTATTGCTGGGTCAAAGGGTATGTGTAGTTTGATAGCCCTTTTGGGCATAGTTCCAGGTTGTTCTCCAGAATGGTTAGATCAGTTCACCACTCCACCAGTAGTTAATTGATGTACCTATTTTCCCTCGTCCAACATTTGTCATTTCTTAATGGTGTGAGGTGGGTACCTCAGAATTATTTTAATTTGCGTTTCTCTAATCAATAGTGATTTGGAGCATTTTATATGACTATTGATGGCTTTGATTTCTTCTTCTGAAAACTGCCTGTTCACATTCTTTGACTTTATCAATTAGAGATTGGCTCTTATTTTTATAAATTTGATTTAGTTCCTTATATATTTGACTAACGAGGCCTTTATTAGAGAAACTTGCTGTAAAAGTTTTTTCTGCAGTTTCCTGCATTCCTCCTAATTTTGGCTTCATTAATTTTGTTGTGCAAAAACGTTTTAATGTCATGTAATCAAAATTATCCACTTTACTTCCCACTTTCCTTTCTATCTCTTGTTTGTCCATAAACTCTTCCCTTATCTATCGATCTGACGGGTAACTTTTTCCATACTCCCCTAATTATGAAATCACCCTTTATGTTGAAATCATTTATCCACTTTGACCTTATTTTGGCGTGTGGCCCGAGATGTTAGTCTATGCCTAGTTTCAGCCAAACTGCTTTCCAGCTTTCCCAGTAATTTTTATCAAGCAGTGAGATCTTGCCCCAAGAACTTGGTTCTTCTTTGATTTTATCAAACACTGGATTACTATAATCATTTACTACTATGTAACGTGGACTTGTTATATACTACTATATAGTGTGAATCTATTCCACTGATCCACCACTGTATTTCTTAGCCAGTACTAGATAGTTTTCATTATTACGCTTTGTAATATAGTTTGAGATCCAGTATTGCTAGGTAGTGAAATGCTAATTTTTTAAAGGATTAAAGACAAATAAGTTGTCTGTGATCTTTATGGACCACCAGGGAATTCCCCCCCCTTTTTTTTTTCATTCTTTTAACTAATATGTGTTAAAGCTCCTCATGTATGATGAAGGGCTGCCCTCAGGGCTATGAGAATGCCAAGGAAGCAGAATATAGTTACTGTCCTCAAAACAACAAAAGAATAAAAAGACAGTTGATTAGGAGAGTTCCTCCTTCGCTTCCCCGCCCTCCCAAATACCCACATGAATCGTATGAGCATGCCTTTTCCCTATGGAAAATGTTCAGTCAAGTCCAAACAGAAGTTCCAGGAGGAATTGGTCAATTGTAGGGGAGTGCTGGCAGGTCAGCAGGGAGCTTCCCAGACCAGGTGCAAAGGCCTCGCGGGGACTGGTGGAGCCCAGAGAGGAACGGTCGGGGAATAAGACAACTCCAGATTGGTTTTCAGTGATTGGTGCTACCCCTGAGATGACTGGTGGCTGGGACTCTTGGGAGGCAAGTCAGGCGCATTTGTTGTTCACTCAGTGTGAGGCACTGTGCGAGTACATTGAGGGTACAAAAAATTGCAAAAAGAAAGACGATCCCTGCCCTCAAGGAGCTTCCACTCTGATGGGAGAAGACACATACAAAGCATCTGAAGATCTGGGGGAGGGGGAGGGAAGCATGGCGGCTAAGTGCAAAGGATATCCTTTCTGAGCTCGTCCTCAAGATGAAAGTTCTGAGGGGCAGCTAGGTGGTGCAGTGGGTAGAGCACCAGCCCTGGATTCAGGAGGACCTGAGTTCAAATCCAACCTCAGACATATGACGCTTACTACCTGTGTGACCCTGGGCAAGTCACTTAACCCATTACCTAGCCAAAAAAATTAAAAAAAAAAAAAGTTCTGAGAACTCACCAATGGGAGAAGGGCACCTCCTCTGGACAGAGCCATCTTTTTGCACTGATCCATAAAAGTGAGCCAACGTCTAAGCTTAGGTCCTGGGTAGGGTAGCCTTTCCTGACTACGGTCTCCTCCCACTCACCCCTGTAATGACTGGCTTGGACCCAAGGCATCT